GAAATGGGGAGATGAGATAGAGTACACAGTGGTAAAGTTTGACCACGAGCATAAGAAGGTAGGAAATTTTTAAAACCAATCTGCTGCTTTGATTTCCCACTTTTTCCAGGTTAGAGTCTCATGTCGTGCAGAGGAGTTGCTTTCACGGCTACAGGCTCAAGAAGAGGTTGATAAAGTTTGCTTCTGATCAATTCGCTCTATTCTTACCTCCTAACAGTTCTTTTAATCATTCATTAAACTCATGAGCATTATCAAATCTTAGATGTTCCTCAATCTTGAAATCTCTGTTCTAAGCGTGCGATAGAGGGTGTATAATATTATGTGCAATAGTTTTTGTGTTGAATCAATCACATCATGGATAATTCATAAAGATTCTTGCTTAAATAACGGATAACTTAAAATACACCAATTTTGCATCGATTTGCATGCATTTGCTTAGGTCAATGCTTTGGTCGGGACCGTAAATCACTTTCTATGGCGACCGGAATTCGCTGCATACATGGTTGAGGGGACCCCAGGAGTACCGTACGGAGGTTCATATCCCCTCATTAGAATACATGGAAACGGAATTTGACTTTGATTTCAGGTCTCTTGGCATGTTTCAATGTTGTCGAAGCCAATATGGTCGTTCGTCGCAAGGAAGTGCAGAAAATGCTCAAAAAGGTGATTGTTTCTGTCTTTAATCTGATTATCAGAACTCGATTTTTTTAAGGGAGAAACCGTTCTATCAATCTCCTTTCCCGCCTTGGGTTCACCCGATTTCACATCTCCATCTATGAAGCCAACTCCTCGTGAAGAAGGGCCTGGCCGCAGTATTTTTTGGCCCGAGGATGCGGTATTTTGTGGGCATCCTAGGTAGGTTTATACGTTCAACGTACTTTCTACTTCCCATCTCTTCCATAGCAGTGATTATTAGGTTCAAAAATCTTGTGAAGAACATCCGCGGTCGAAGAGGGGAGAAAATTGCAATCAACGTGCCAATCTTTAGGGATAAAAATACTCCAAATCCTTACATAGTGAGTAA